ACTTGGGCCCATTTGAAAATAATTTCTCCAAACTCACCAATTTTTGGGCTTTTCGATTAGGCTTTGATTAGGCTCAATTAATTTCGTGGGCTCAAGTTAACCTTTCTTACATTTTGCCCCGTGCTTGTATGAGAAATTTTGAATTTTTTGGACATGCATATTTCCACTTCTTCGACTATGTTTTGTATTATGCTCTTGGGAATATTTTGTTCTCATGTGGCTTTTGGATAAGATTGATGACTCATCATAATTTATGAATAAAATTGCCAACTAGTAATGATAAGAAAGAATCTTTTATCCTTGTGCCATGTTTGGTAAACACTTTTATGACTTCGATTTTTTTAAATTTTTTTTTTTAAGGAAAAAATCAAAACTTAAATTGTTTAATACTCCACCAAACAAACCTGGACATTTAATAATACGGCACCAACTAAGCTGTTCAAAGAAAAATAATAATAATAATTCTTTTCCATTCCTGAAATAAAAGTGTCTAAGAAAGTTTTTTTCATTAAAAAAGTTCTGTGAAATATATACATACACAAGGATAACATTGTCTAAGAAAAAAAAAAAGAAATTTTATTTTGTCCTTATTTAATTACGCGCCTCTTTTTTAGGGGAGTTTATGAGTCAAAATAAATTGGGTTAAAAAGGATTAAAATAAGCAAGAATAAAATTTGAATATAAAACGTAATTTTAATAGCAATAAATGTTGAAATAATGGATTAGTAATAATTGAAAATTAAAAGATACTAAACAGTGAGGATGATGTAACTCATAGAATCAAGATAAATTGGCTCAATTGAAGAGGTACCTTAGCAGATCATATTATGCAATTCATGAATCACTACAACATATAAGAATTTTAGAGATTAAATATTTTGATCTCTAAAAGTAAAATTTTATTGAAAAAGATATTTAAGGATCAATTTCTATCGCCAGGAGGATAGTCGTTAAAAAGTCGTTTCGAAAAGTCAAAAACAAGGCTTTTAGTGACAAAAATTTAAAATGTCATTAATAAATAGATTTTTAGGGACAAAATAATTTGATCTCAAAATGATTTTTTTTTTTGAGATAAAAAATGTGGTCCCAAAAGGATAATAATTCATCACTAATGTCTAATTTTCTTCGCTGAAATATAATAACGACACTTCACGTAATAAAAATATTTAGTCCTTAAAATATAATTTTGTTCCTAAATTTTGGTATCTAAAATTTTAATTTTTTGTAGTGAATATTTAATTAAAAATTCTATAGGATAATTATATAAGGTCTTTATGAGATCAATAGAATGTTTGAGCCACAAAAAAATAATGAGCTTTGCTAATAAGTGAATTCGTTTAAACATTAACACAAAAAATAATATATATAGTTATTTAAAAAAGATAATATATATCAATATTTGTAAAAATCAAAAAGACAATTATAAATAATTTGCCACGCGTTAATTTGAACTATTGACACCAATTAATATCCAAACATTCAACTTAATTAAAAAAATAAAATAAATTTTTATTCAAGTTGTATTTGAGGTCAATAGTGAATTTGTGTGCACGTTTCATATTTTTAAATTGGTGATCTTGTAAATAAAGTAGGAAAAATTACTTATCAGTGGCACTATTAAAAAATTATTGTAGATTCAATAAATTTTTTATAATTTTGATTATTAATGTGTATAAAATTTATCACTTATTTATAATTTTTTTTTATATAAAAAATCTACATTAATTGAAATTTCTCCAATATATATATATATATATATATAATGGGAAATTCTACTATAGACACGCATTGAAAGGCATATATCATATAAATTTTTAATTATGATATTTTCTTATTTAATTATAACTAATTTTTTTTTAATATTATATCATTTTCTTTTAATTAAGTTGTAATACACACCTTTTAGTCTTTCCCAAATATCATATATTATTGTAATTTGATTTGAATGAAGTTAATAGGTTGGGTACCAAATTCACTGGTAGGGCATATTATATGATATGAAGTAAAGTGTGAAAAATAAAATGTTATAAATCTTAAATAATTTATTAAATTTTTTATAAAATCTCTAGTATAAGTGTGGTACCATACAAATCCATATGTGTTGTGTGGGCTGCGGTTGTAGAGGCAGTGTCTATTGATGTGGTGCCTTGAAATTGAATCAAGGGCAGCCAAATCAATCCCACTGGTTGGTTTGGGCTGCGATTGTGGAGGCAGTGTCTATTGATGTGGTTGCGTCGGTGGTTGTAGTGGTTTTCTATACCCAACAGTCATCCCCTATTTTGATCTCTCATCGTTTGAAAAACCCCGATTCGGGTAATCTCCGACATGCCCTACCAAACCTGGTACCACTGCTGCCATAGTCATCGTCGTTGCCGCAATAGTGGTCAGCACTGTAGGCGGCGAAAATAGAACCACAAAATCCCAATCCTCTTGCTTTTACACAATAGTGGTAGAAGTAGTGGCCCTAACGCTCATCTGAGAGAACTGGTCCTCAATTCCGCTACCCATCGTCACCTTTTGATCCTCAACCACGTGAACTCGAATTGGCGGCAAGTTTGCCAGCGACGACGAAGACGAAGCCGACCCAAACGACGAATTCATCTCCAGCATTGGCGAATCGGGCACCGAATGAACGTCTTGACCAACACCACCACCACCTTGCTTGTTGATGATGTTGTTACTACTACTCTTCACCTCATTTGTCGATGAGTTCTCATTTCTGGCAATCACCACATCATCGTCTGTAAACAATTCACCGGTTGCCGATTTAGAGAACCCATCTCTTGTAGCACTATTGAGAGTGTTCAAAAACTAGTCCTCGGACTTCATTGAGTTCTCGAGCAAAGACTTAATTGAGAAACCCTAATCGGGTTTTGTTGGAAAGAGAAACAAGCAGAGCTGAGATGATTTCTGGGTCAAATTGTTCGAAGTGAGTCGATTGTACTCTTTGATCATGTTCTCCAAATCTTCATCGGTGGTGACGGAGATCATAGAATTGAGGTCTTCGTTGGGTAGTTGGTACTTGATTGTGAAAGATCGATCCCTGATGAGGGTTTTGGAGAGTTGGATTGTGAGGTCGGAGAAGGAAGAGTGGCGATCGGTGACGATGATGCGGATGTTGTCGCTGACGTAGCATATTGAGGGTAAGTCTGAGTAAGAGAGGATGGGTTTTCATCCTTATTTTGAAATTTGGAGTCAAAATATAATTTTTTTAACTTTTTTTTTTTTCTTCATCAAATGTGAGGATAGGGGTAAAATTGATACGATTTTAAAAAATTTAGTGGTAAAATTGAAATTATTCGAAGTTTGGGTGTAATTGATCATCGAGGTAAAGTATTGGGATAAAAATAAAATTTTCTTTTTTTTGAATTTAATTTTTTGAAAATTTAATTTTTTATTAGGAAATTGATCAGTAAATCTCCGTTTTGTAGACTTGCAATTCATAAGGTTCTACATTTTTTTTTGTGACTAAGTGGTTCTTTAAATTATTTGTTGAGTGTTTTGCCATTATTAATACAGTTGAGAGACATGTGGCGTAGTTATGTATGGGGAAGGTAGTGGGGTGTTTGTGTGTCACGTTGTTCGAAAAACACATTAGCAACTTTTTAAAGTTTGGTTGTTTTTAACATGCGCAGTGTGTGTTGCGAATTCCTTACTAATTGTTTTTTGATGTGTGACGTGAAGACACGCAATAATTCAATCAAATTGGGTCTGCCACGTTAGAGTATCACATGTCACGTTTAGGAAAAGTATACTAAGAAGTTTTTATGTATGGGGAAGATGGTGGGATGTTTGTATGTCACGTTGTTCAAAAAGCGCATTAATAGCTTTTTAAAATTTGATTGTTTTCAACACGTGCAGTGTGGGAGATGAATTCTTTACCAATTGTTTTTTGGCGCGTGACGTGAAGACATGTAGTAATTCAATCAAATTAGGTCTGCCACGGTAGAGTGTCACATGTCACGTTTAAGAAAAGTACATTAAGGAGTTTTTAATTTTTTTAGAGTGTCACAATATACTCGCCACGTTGTCACATTTGAAAAAAGTATACTAAGGAGTTTTTATTATTTTTTGGAGTGTTACATTATACCTACTACGCTGCCATATTTGGAAAAAAATACACGAAGGATGAGTACAAATTTTAGAGTGTCACATCATACCTGTTGCGTTGTCTCATTGTTGGAGTGTCACATTAATATCTACTACATTGGAGTATCATACCATATCTGTCACACATTCAAAAAAACAAAAAAAAAAACTTCCCTGATTAACTAGTGAGGGTATATGTGTCTAACCAATATCCATCTACGTTTGAAAAAGGACTTATTGGTCACACACTACACCTAATAAGGACTCTTTAATCAACCATTTAAAACGTGGGATCAAATGGTACAAAAGTTCTCAAAATAGGACTTTACAATAAATTTCTTTTTTTATTTTCGTATATATATATATATATTTTTGTGTGTCAGTTAATTTTTTAAATATTTTAACAAATGTTTTACTTTTTAGATCGACCTAGATGTATTTAAAAAATAAAAATATTTATAAAAAATATTTTAAAAAATTAATAAATACATAAAAATATAAAAATATACTGAATATATATATATATATTTATATTTTTGATATTTAATAAAAATATTTTTTTCATAAATATTATACTTTTTAATTACATTTATATTATATATATCACTAAAAAAATAAAAGATTATTTAAAATATTAATTTTTTTTACTGAAAATAAAAAAATATAAAATTAAAAAAAAATTAAGGTCAAGTTTGGCATCTACTAAATAATACAAAAAGTTAAAAAGTCACTATCCTATTTAAGTCACATCATCTTATTTAAATCACATCACCTTTTTAACACATCACATCAAATCCAACCCAAATCCAATTCATATAAGCCAATAAATCAAAAAGTACATTTTTTATAACATCCCAGACCAAACCCTAAATTAAGAAAATTAGAACAAGGTGAATATTATTCCCGTTTCAAAGAACGCACCTATATTCTTCTTGGAAAAGAGGGGACACATATTTTTGCATTTTAATTTGAGTTGGCACAATAATTTGTGGAAAACGAAGAGGTGTGGACATGGCGGACGATTCGACTAGCAATACCAACCAGTCATCGGCCGAAGCTGTGGCGAACAACGACGATCTCTTGAATCAAATCCTAGTGGGTCTGCCGATAAGATCACTCCTTCGATTCAAATCAGTCTCCAAACACTGGCTATCTTTCATCACTCACCCCCACTTTGTTCGCCGCAGAACTCTCAACTTCGAACCTTCCGGCCTCTTCGTGGAATGCTATTCGAAGCCACTTCTCATTCCAGGGTTCGATTTCATACCTTTCAACAATCTCAACCCCACAAAACCCCCCCTCACAACCCACCCCAAATTCATCGGAGACCCTTTTGGTATTCGAAATTTTCAGTCTTGCAACGGTTTGTTGTTGGGTGATGGTCGGCATTTATACATCTACAATCCCACTACCAATCAATTCACCACTACTCCTGAACCACCTACTCACCGAGCTCGCACAACTGTCAACTGGTTTAACTTCGTTTGTTATTCTAGTTTAGCTTTTGATCCATCGAAATCGCCTCACTACAAAGTTGTTTCTGTTTATTCTTCTAAAACATTGTCTGAACACTATGATGTTGAGATCTTCTCCTCCGAAACTGGCCTCTGGACTCCCTCATCGACCAACCCGTTACGTGCCGATAATGTTAATTTCAAGAATGGGGTATTTTGGAATGGTGCTCTTCATTGGATTGGCTTTTGGGATGCCGATTCCTTGTACTTCAACATTGAGGAAGATCGTTTTAGAACACTGCCGACGCCTCCTACCCCAGAAGGTCGGAATGAGAGGGGGCGGAGGAATTTTAGGGAGTCCCGTGGCCATTTGCAGCTTGTTAATGTAAATTGTAAATGTAAATTGTACTCCACCTACCACCTCCACTTCACCTAACACACTCAACTCTACCTACCACCTCCACTTCACCCCCTACCAGCACCACCACAATCTGCTACCTTCTCTTCTATATATAGGAGTTGTAATCAATATACAGATACACAACAATCTTGTAATACAAATCAATAATACATCATTTATAACATGGTATCAGAGCTATAGGTTAGCTCTAGGTGATCTTCACCTTCCGGCGGGCGGCAACCTTGCCTTCACCGCCCGCCGGACCCCAACCGTGCCAATTGAAACCTCCAACACATACCTCCTCTCCTTTCACCTTGGTCTCTGCAACCTCACTCTGTAAAATCATCACCTCCATCGGCGTCGTCCAAGTCAGCAACGGCAGCCGCAGCAGCACCGTTCTCTTCCTCATTCTTCTCTCTCTACCCGCCGGAAATTGAGACTCCAAAGGTAACCAACTCCTAAGAGCCCTGTTCTGCTCCAAAATTCTGTTCTTACACCTCTGCCCCGTATACCTCACTTGGGGTTTCTAAGGACAATAATCAACAAACAACCCAGCAACAACAACAACCCAGCTTTCTCTCTCTACCAACAACAACAACAACAACCCAGCAAGAGCAATACCTTCCTCACCATGGCCTACATCCTCGCCGTCAACGCCTCCATCCTCTCCGACTCCGGCGCCACCTGCTCCGTCTCCGACAATGACCCTAGCGAATACTGCAGGACGAATTTCCGTCTACTGGTGCTGAAAGTATCTCTCTAAGTTCATATAAGTTTGATGAAACACGGGCAGATATTTGAGATCCTCCGACTCGCCCCATCCCGCCGTTCCTGCTGGTCTTCGCTGGACACGTGGCGGCCATCGAGCACCGGTGGAATCAACACGGCTTGGGCGGAGATAACTTGAGTAGTCCGATGCCCAGTCCACAACAGAGCCATTATCAACCGAGTATGGAAGCCTGCCCGCTGGTGCATATGCTCAAGGCAATATGCCATGCCCATAGCTCTTCGCAGTCGCATTCCCTAATCCAAGTGCTCGGATTCTTTCTCTTAATTTATTCCATTCTCTGCCCCATACACTCAACACACTGCCCCATCCACTCACATGCAAGACATCCATCCACACCATCTTTTCTTTCTTTTCTTTCTTTTATGTTAAAAGATGGGCCACGTGATTCTCTTCTTTTCTTTCTTTTCTTTTCTTTTTATTTCTTTATTTATTGTTTTGCTTTTACCACCGCCTGTCCCCCTCTTTTCTTATTTTTTATATATTTATTTTACTCCCTCTTTTGAAAACAAACCGCCCACACACGTTTGACTCTCACATTTCCTTTTTCTTTTTTTTTCTTTTTTTTTTTTTATTCCTTTCGCATTCACCCATTTCTCTTCAATTTTATTCACATATATTCTTCTTATTTCTTTTTTTTTTTTTTTTTTCTAAAAAAAAAAAAAAAAAACAAAAAAAAAAAAAAAAAAAAAAACAAAAAAAAAAAAAAAAAAAAAAAAAAAAAAACAACACCGAGGAAGAAGATGAACTGCACACCAACTTATTTTATTCATGTCGGGGCTCACCCCGATCACCATTTTACACCAATGACTCATTGTAAACCCTGTTACAACCCTTGAAAAGTCCTTTTGATTCGTGTTATGCATGTGATCCCAGTGGTGGAGAATGAGAAGATATGCAAGCCTATGGTAGATCATTCCCTTTGGAATGAATTTGAGCGAAACACATAACCTTCAAACACATGAGAGTCGAGTATTTATTTCCGTGAGGGTCTACGTATTTAGTTTACTCTATCTTCGAGTGAAAATGCTTACTAAGTAATTGTAAGTTGTTTAAGAATGTTTGTTCATGATATGTTATGAGTTTTGAAGAGCTTGGTGGTTCTTTGTTGATGGCATTTCAACCTGGGTGTGTGTTCTTGGGATGGTTGTGGTAGTTGCAACTGCAGTGTAGATACTGGATTTAGTGAGACTCTATTGAACAGTAAAGTTGAAATTTAATGCTTTTATTTATCATTTGCTTCGTTTGACTCTTGTTTTTCATGTTTAATTCATTCTCTCATTTTTTACATCGGTCTGACACGACCACACAGTGTCTGCTACAACGGTCCGACACGACCATACAGTGTCTTCTCCAACGGTGTGACACGACCATACCGTGTCTTCAACAACGATTTGACACAACCATGCAGTGTCTCCTATCCTATTTTATTTTATTTATCAGTTTACTTTTCTGTTTTGTGACTCTCTCCAAACTCAAGTTGGCTAGTGCCTATCCTCCTTGAGTTTGAGGGGGGCTGTTAATGTAAATTGTAAATGTAAATTGTACTCCACCTACCACCTCCACTTCACCTAACACACTCAACTCTACCTACCACCTCCACTTCACCCCCTACCAGCACCACCACAATCTGCTACCTTCTCTTCTATATATAGGAGTTGTAATCAATATACAGATACACAACAATCTTGTAATACAAATCAATAATACATCATTTATAACACAGCTGATTGATATTTATGGTTCTCAAACTAAACAATTCAATGTGTATGAGATGGAGAGTGACTACTCTGCATGGTTTGTGAAGTACCGTGTTGATCTTGATGCCATTCCAAATGCATTTCCCGAAATGGTTTGTAACTCACTTGGTTGTTATGAATTTTTCGTACTTAGTCTTGTTCGGAGAGAGAATGATGACGAGTCATTTCTAGTGCTGCACATACCAGGTAAGATCCTGCGATATAATTTTCAGGACAATAGTTTTAGTACGGTATTAGATTTTCCTCCAAGCCACCAAAGAAAAATGCTTGGGAGCACTAATTAGTGCTCCCACTAATTAGGTGGCAGTGGGTCCCGTCATTAATGATGTGATATTTTAGTCTTGGAGTTGTATTTTATTTTATTTGTTTTTACTTTTTTAATGCATTAGTGCTATTAGTGGTGATGTTTTTAGTGGGATGAATCATTGTTGAGCCACCAAAAGTTTAGAGTTGGTGGACTGTGTGATGCATTCGAATACATTGAGTCTCTGGCTTATGTTTGAAAATGTTTCCTACTCAAAATCGTTGGGATTCACCTGTTTTTTGACTATCTATCGATCTATGTTTTTTTTGTTTTTTTAAGTCGTGAAACTGTAAGCATGTGTGTTAAATGTTACTTGATTATAAGAATAATGCACCAGTTGCATCCTTTTGCAAGAAGTTTCAATTTTTTTTTCTAGTTTTTTTCGATAGAATACCGAGTGGTTGATGCAATACTGCAAAGCTATTTATCATGCATAGAAACTTGTATATGACAAAAGAAAGAGATATATATGTGTGTGTGTGTTCTTTTAAGTGAATCCTAGGCATCTGTTTATAGATGCGTTGTGCCTCTTCATCAAAAGGCACGAAGCATCTGGATTTGTAATGATGTTGTAGGTTGATCTGTGTGGGAGGAAGAACAGCCTGTTATGCTGCCTATGGATTTGTTATGCTGCCTCTGATTGTTTTGGTATCCTGATGCTGAATGTTTAGTTGCAACCTTGTGTTATGCAGTCAACCTCTCTTGTGGAAGGTTGCTGTGGTGGTTTTTGTGTGTGCTTGGCTGTGCGTCCTCTGTTTTGATTGTCTTTTTATTGCGGTTGGTTACTCACCAACTTTTGATGGTGTGCTAGCAAATGATAGGGCGGACTTATCGGTGCCAACGTAGTTGGGATTGGTTTGTTTTGCTTTGATTCTCTTTGCACTCATCGCTTTCTTTATTGATGCAATTCTCTTTTGGTTCATCAATAAAATTTACCTTTTGCTGATAAAAAATAATCAAAAGGCGCTGCCCTGCAAAGGTTTGTATCTTGTTTGATGTTGAACATGTACTACTCTTTGTTAGAGTTGTATATGTTAAATTTCATTTATTTCATACTCTGGGAGGCCTTCACTAACGCAAGGGAAGGATATGATGTTCACCTCTGTTCGTCGGTTTGAATTTTGTAAGGAATTCTTTTTAGCATTTGGGTAGGGGACATAATGGAGAGGGTTGGTTCTTGTGCCGTCCTTTGAAAGCTTGGGGCAATATGGTGTTTGAGCTTTTGTGATTAAATTGACTTTGAAATAACACATGACTATTTTTGTGCAATTAGTCAGTTTTAAGTTTTCTACCCTTGTGGCCAAAATGATTTAAAAGAATTTTCACTGTTCGCAGAAGGAGAACCCCTCCATGTTACAATTTGATATTGCTAGGGGAGAGGCTCCGTATGCATTCACTCATATGTGGAATGAGGTTGAATATTTTTTTACGCAATGGTGAAGAGTGATATGAATTCATTGACATGGACCTAAATTGACAACGAATATTACTGTAGAAAAGGATATAAAAAAATTAAATTCAGTTGAGCATATAGATCTTTACAGAGTGTAATGACAATGAATAATTCACATAGCTGATCCTAATTGATTGGGATACAAGGGTTTAGGTTGATTTGATTTATAATTTTGTCTTTTTTTCCTGTAGACTTGTATTTGTTAAGCACAGATACATAAATGTTGCCACCTATTGAAAATTTACAAGAAATGGATTCTCTAATGAAAATCAGAAAGCACATGTACATGCTGCCTGTGATTTTATTTCTACTAGATTAATTGTGCAGTTTACTTTTCACATTCTCTATTGCAATGGATGAATTTGTTTTTATCATCAGTCTCTTTCTTGTCTTTCATTCTTCATCAAGCTAATAGTCCTGCTATTGCAATCTCTCAATCTCATAATTCTCTAGCTTAGGTTTCTTCTCACTGTTCTTCTTCCCTCTTTCATTCCTCTCCTCATCCTTGTGACCTGTTATCTTTGTTGAGTCTCCTGTAGCTGCTTTGACTCTAGGATTGACATCTACTTTTATCATCCTATTTCCAGCAAAGGGGGTCTGAGTTTAGTAGCCTATTCTGGCTTAGACTTGGTTGGTTCTTGGTTTTCCTCTTTGCTTTCATGGAGGCTATTCATTTCCAAGCTGGTTAACAGGACTGGCCGCCCCCCCCCTTTTTTTTTCAAACCCTTATTGCCTTGATGTTTTTGTTTTTCCACTTAACAGGACATAAGGACCTCTCTGCATTCACTGCTCGGCTCTTGTTTGTTTTTTGTTATAAAGCTCAATCTTCTCACTTTTTTTGTTTTTGCTTTTTAAAGGCTTCATTTGCGCAGAATGACAGCTTTTGAGTAGAGTAGAGGCTGCTCAATTTTTATGCCACTTTAGCTCATTGCCTAAATAAAAAAATTTCCGAAAATTTCTTATTGCCAAAGGTCCCGATTGTCCAAAGGCCTAATAGGATAGTTTTTATTATAGGTTCCGCCTGAGGCCTAAAAAGTCCGTAGGCCCTAGTGTGTTAAAGCAGCTAGAGTTGCAAACGAAAGGAGCCAAGCCGAGCCGAGTGGAGTTTTGCTGAGCACGAGCTCAGCTCGTTTGCTTATCAAGCTCGTTTATTGAGTTTCAGCTCGAGCTCGGCTTGATAACTAACTAAGCTCGAGCTCAGCTCGGCTCGTTAATATTAACGAAACTCGAGCTCGGCTCAACTCGATAAGATTTTTTTAAAATATTATTTATACTATTTAGGATAAATTATAAATACACCTCCTAAGCTTTGGAAATTACATTCCACCCTCTGAGGTTTGTAATTTTATAATAAATCGTTCTTTTATTAATAAATCATTAATTCAATTAACATTTTTAATAATATTAGAAATATGTTTCAATTAATAATTTAAGTAATTTTATTATTGTATAGGAGACCAATTATAAATTTCGTTTTTTTAGTTAATTCTGTTAAATAAATTTTTTTGGCAAGGGAGTATTTGTAATTTTTCAAATCACAAGAAATAATTTGTATTTTAATCAAATTTTAGGGAGTATATTTGTAATTTACAATATTATTTAAATAAAACACACACACATATATATGTTTATATATTATTTAATATATAAATAATATATTTATTATATAATTTAAATAAAGATAAACAAGCTGAGTTTATTTGAACTCAAATTCGAGTTCAGCTTATTTACTAAACGAGTTGAATCAAGTTGAACTGTTCGTGGATAATTCGATTCATTTACGATCTAAAAGCAGCCCAACATCTTGCTAGCTTTGCAGCCAGATCTAAAATTTACTGTGAAGACGATGTCTTTTTTGGTACGTCATTTGTAGTCGTAGCAAGTATTAGTTGTTGATGTTCTTTGTTCTTTCTCATGATTGTTTGCCATTGTACTTGTTCTTGTCATCCCCTTTGTTTTTGGATGCCTCTGTGCTGGTTTTTATTTTATTTTATTTACATTAGCGGTGTACGGTGCTAAGCACAATTTAAAAAAAATACTTTATTCATTCTAAAATATTAATCCTTTATCTTATTTTTTATTAGGGGATTTTTTTAAGGTCTCTGATATTAAGATTTTATAGCATAAAGGACATTTAATATTTTCATAATGTCTAAGGTCCCTCAACATTGATCCAGAGAAAATTCGATCCAGAGAATTTCTCTGGACACATCACAGAGAAAATTTCAAATTTCTCTGGATAGTGCTCTGCTTCTTGATATTAGTCCTCCGAGGGTAGTGATATAATCCAGAGATCCCGTACCTATTAATTCAATCTACACTCTGTAATTCATGGACTAAAACATGGATTCTAAATTTCAATCTAAAGAAAATTGAATGAATACCCAAAGAAAACTTCAATCCAAAGAAATTTGAACACTCGGAAAAAATTTCAATTTAGAGAAAATTGAACATTTCAATCTAGAGATCAGTACCTATTAATTTCAATCTACACTCTGTAATTCATGAGGGTAGTGATATAATCCAAATATCCAGTACCTATTAATTCAATCTACACTTTGTAATTCATGGACTAAAACTTGGATTCCAAATTTCAATCCAGAGAAAATTGAATGAACACTCAGAGAAAATTTCAATCCAGAGAAATTTGACACCCAGAGAAAATTTCAATCTAGTGAAATTTGAACACCCAGAAAAAATTTCAATCCTGAGAAAATTGAACATTTCAATCTAGAGATCAGTACCTATTAATTTCAATCTACACTTTGTAATTCATGGACTAAAATATGGATTCTAACGACAGAACCTTGAGATCCACAGCTTAATGACTGCCCAGGTTGCAATTTCTCACAAATCCCAAAGAAAGATTCTATATATCCGAGACAGAGACTTGTCTCTACGTCGGATAACCCAAACCCATCGTCGCAGATATCATACTACTTTTCTGGCTTTCGGTGCCGACAGAGGAGGGGCCGAGGTGGCGGTGGGTCTTGATGGCGACATAGGTTTGGGTTTTATCTCCGGTGCTGGCTGTGGTGGTTGGTTTTTTTCTAGTGCCTCTTCGGACTACTGAGAATCCACCTCTGCCAAGATATTGGACACTTCGTATTCGTCAGAGAGTTTTATGGTTTCGTCATGTCCTATGAGAGAGAGAGAGAGAGAGAGAGACAGAGAGAGAGCGCGATATATATACCCAAAAAGGAAGGAGATGATGAGTGAAGATTACAGGCGAATCAGATTGTGTGGGATTGGAGAATTTGCTTGGGTGTAAAGAAATGGAGAAAAAAGACAGCAGGCAGGTTCAATGATGAGAGAGAGAGAGAGAGAGACGAAATAGAGAAGGTAGAGAGAGAAATGGGGTTCGATAGAATGAAGATCAGAAAGAGGGAGTCAAATTTCTCTGATATCATATATGGGTGTGGGTTTAAAGACCTTTGACATCGAAAAATAATATTGTGAATCTTTTTCATTACTAAAAATGAGAGAGGGACCTTAGACTAATTTTTCCTTTTTTATTATCTCAAAATATTAGTTCATTTTAAAAAATTAAGGACTAAAATAATATGAATTTCTTATTTTTTCATTTTTTAAAATTTATTAACAACACAAAAAGTATAATTATGACAATTTATATTCCCTAAAAAATATACTATCAAAGGGCAATTTTGGAAAATTAATTTTTTCAAAGTGCAATAATTGTACTACTAAAAAAAGTTAGATTCCCCAAAAGGGACTATTATTTTAAGACGGAGGGAATAATTAAAATTTAATTTTGAAATTAAATAATAATGTAAAATTTGTTTGACATGCATAGGAAAAATAATTTAGAATCAATTAAATTTTAATCATTTTCATTGGAGGTCCTTTATTTATTTATTGCATTAATGGTATGTTTTAAGT